CTCGGGAAGGAGGACAGGCCGTTTCAGAACTTGCTTGAAGGCATTCGGAACCAGGGAGGCCGTGGTCCCACTGCAGGAGCCTTCCACAGACTCCTTTAAGGAATGTTACCAGGCCTTCTCGGAACTGTGCACAAGCCAAAATATATATTGACATGATAAACCACAATGGACTTAAGTGTTTAAAGTCAAAAATACACTTTTAAAAATAAGTACTTAACGTTGGCTGATTGGGCAATAATACACAGGCACCGAATTGACTTTGTTTAGAATAAACCCCCGAGTATACTTTTTTTCTTAACATTTTGCACCAAAGCAAGGAAAACCAAAGGGGAAGAACACTGCTCTGTGGGACATTTCCTCATTTCGACATCACGGAACAATGGCAGCTTCTTGTAGCAAAGCTGCACCGCCAAGCCAGCAAACTCGGACGGGCTCTGCAAAAATGTTTAGCTTCAAATGAAAATTAAATTTGCTTCTGTGCCCCCAGCTCTATCCTCGTCCATCTTACACGTGTCCCTCATACGTCCCGTTCCTCACACCCAGAAAATCTGCTGCAAAGGAATCTCCTGAGCCTGGGGGGGATATTGCAAAAAAGATCGGGTGCCAATGTTTTGTGTCTAGGGGCACAGACTCTGACCTCTCCTCCTCTGGCTGCGGACAGCTCCTGTGACGCCCTCCCGTTGTCTCTGCTGTTTCAGTTTGGGTGGAATGTTGTGAAATATTGGACTTGGGCAACTTGTGTGGCTAGGATGTCTAGGATGTTTTGAGGTGTAGAGGCAGTCTTGTCTCACTCATTCAGTCCTTTCGGGGAGATACCATTGCCTCCAGCAGATTCAAAGGCATGATTTTTATTTTATTATTTTGTGAGACGTCAGGCACCACCTTGAAGCAGCAGAGGAGAGACGCCCTGCTTAGCTAAATGGTGGTCAGAGCAGTCTTGGTCATGTCATGTCCTCCGCTAGGCAGACACTAAGGCCGTCACACTGGGAGTAGCCTTGGGAAGGTCTTGGGATTGGCCACAGGGCCCTCGCTCCTCCCCTCCTCCTGAGCCAGTTCTCAGGTCCAAGGTGAGAAGTGGAGAGAGAGGCCTACTCTGGCACAAACATATAGTAGTGGCTCAGAGGTGGTCCAATTCTCCCTCTGGCTTAGAGGGGCCCTTCACTTTAAGTCATGAACTCATTCCGTTGGCTTGCTTCTGTCAGAGATGAAGGTCCAATAAACCATGTGTTTAGCAGAGCACAGGCCCTGGCAGCCAGGACAGCAGATGCCATGTTTCCTAACAGGAAAAAAAGTGTGCTTCGCCTTCACCTGAAACTGTATCACTCCAACCTCAAATTCGCACCCTGATCACTCTCCACTCGCCCGACGACAGCGCCGGGCGTGACTGTGCGTCCACAGCCCAATGTCCTGGAGGAAAGTGAGACGCTGAGGCTGTCAGGTGGGTGCTTGGCGGTGTCAACGGGCAACTGGCTGAATTTCTCATTTCAGGTCTTAGAATCCCCTGTGGGAAGAGGCTTTCCTTCAAAGCTGTTTAGCACTCTATAGATCCAAACTTGAAAGTGTTTTTGAATCCCCAAACTCCGTGTACGGCCTTTACTTTACATGTGACCACAGCACTCACTCGCTCCTTGCTGCATGTGGTTTTAAAGTTCGTCGCACACACTCACTGTCCTGCTACCCCATTGTCCTTGGCTGCCGGGACCTCGGAAGCATTCGTGCTACTTCTCACTGTGCACTTCCATTACCCCAATATATTTGATTTCCAAGCTTTTTAAATGTCTACTCCTGCTCACCTGCTATCGCAGAGACACTCATGTGACCTCTTTTACGTCCACATCCTAAAACCCAGATGTCAGAAACAAAGTCAGACAGACTAGCAAGTAGTTGCGTGGTGGCCCCAACTACTGCCAGGGAGGAATGAGCACTGTTACCCCTGACCCTCACCATACCCAGTACATCCCCATGCCCTCCCCTCCCTGATATTGCATTAATCCTTGCCCTTCTTCTCTTGTCTTAATGGTCCTTTTGTTCAGAGCACTTATAAGTCTCTAATACACTATCTAGTTCACTTATTGTGTTTATTGCTAATTCATTCTGTCTCTGTCTCTGTCCAATCACATAAATTCTATGAGGGCACAGGTCTTTGCCTATCTTGTTCAGTAATGAATCTAAAGTTCCAAGGACAGGGCAGCACACATTAAGTGCACATTTCAGTATTTGCTGTATAAATGGAAGAATTCTGAAAGACAGGTACTTCTCCAATGCTCAGGTCATAAAACATACCCTACAGATTGCTAAATCTGTTCCTTGCTTACTTTCCTCATCAATATGTACAAAACTCTGGCAGTATTTTAAACTTTGTCCATGCCTTTCTTCTACTCTCTTCACCTCCTTCCACATCTGCTGTGGCCCAGAACTTTTATTTAATCTGAACACAACCATTTCTTTGGTCTGCCCTGACCCATATTCTTCAAAAAGCCCCATATAACATATCCTCTCTCAGCTGTTCACCTCTTCTAAGTAAATCCATCCCACCTGTTTGTTTTATTGTTTACAGGCATATTCAAAACTTCAGAGCCGTAAACATTTCAGGAGAAAGGTCTCTATTCAAATTAACGTAATTGACTATCCTTGTAAACATGCTACTGTCTTCTTGAAGATTACTGAGTGCCAAATCATACAATCTTATGCAGCTGGCCCTCTCCCTTAGATACCCAGATAGTAAAATTACTATAATTAGTTTTGCAATCACTCAGCACTAAAGAATTCTTACTCAAGACCAGGATGCTATTTTGAGAGTATGAGGAGTTCAACAACATGGAAGGAAGTAGTATTGACCTATTATTCTAGCGAAGGAAAAACAAAGCATAAGATCTCTGATTTTCAAAATGTAACCTCCTTGAATGGAGATTTCATGAGTATATTTTACTTTTCCTTCTCCTCAAAAGGTAGGGATACAGAATAAAAATAGCAGTGTTTCTTGGTGCTTCCTATGGTCCAGTTACTGTGCTGAGCTTTTTATAGACATCATCTGACTCGATGCCCACTTTAACTGTAAAATGTTGGCATTTTATAGCTGCACAACTTGAGACTTCTGCATCTAAGTAATTTATCCAAAGCCCCGTTCAGGCTAGCTTAGGACAGCCAGGCAGAAGCGGGTCTAAGAATCAAGCCCGCACAAAGCAGAGCCCTCACCGCCCACCACCAGTGGCAGCCCTCCCGTCCCGCACCTTTATTTCTCTCCACCCCACACCACAATTACAAATAAATAAAGGGGTTTTTAAAGAGTTACGGTAACTGACCCAGACACGGCTCTAAACCCTCGTGTTTGCTGCACATCGGAGCTGGGAGGCTGGTGGAGGGGGCTGGAGCTGGGCGCCCGCCAGGGGATGGGACTCTGGAGAGCCAGCCAAGCTGGGGTTGCCTTGTTCGTGTAGTCGTTTGATCTTGTTTTCCCAAGACGTAGAGAAACGCTGTCTACTGAGGTTGTGAAAGACAGCCTTCAAAAGTGGGAATTATGTCCCGAAGCTGTCAAGGCTTTGGAATGCTGCTCTACGAGATGACATGTATGTATAAAGGGAGAAGCAGGGAGACGGGCTGACAGCCCCAGCCGCCTGGTCCCGGAACCGTAAACTGAAACACCCCCCCACACCTCCAGCCCCACCCCCGTCCACAGTCCCCCAAGTCTCTAAGGAGCGGACGTACGTGTCGGGAAGCGCTTCAGCACAACAAAATGACCAAACCCCCCCTTCCTTTCAGGAAAAAAAATCTGCTCTGCCGATCCCCTAGGCCTGTGCCTTTCTCTCCCTCTTTCATGACACAGAGCATGGACATTGCTCACTAATGTCACATCTATTACCTCGAGTTCAGAAGACGCAGGCACAGCTGACAGGGCACATGGGACGAAACACCGTGAAAGGCTTCTCGGAGTCAATGAACAGGCTTGGTAAAGAATCAGCCTCACAGTCACGGACACCGATGAATGTGCAAGTGTCCTCCTAGAGTGTAAATTCTCGGTCACTTTTACATCCCCCCACAGAAGCCTGTAAGTACTAGATGGTGAAACGAATAGTAATCTGCACACTGGGCACAGCCAGGGGCTGCGGAGGAGATGAAAGAGGCCGAGGAGCCCGAGTCCCACACAGGGGAAGGGGGTGGGGGTGGAGGCCACAGGCACCCACGCCCAATTGCAGGTACAAGCTGCCAGAGTGGCGATGGTGCCAGTCTCACAGCCGGACTGAGTGTTCAGGATGGCCGTGTTTCTGACACTCCCCATCAATGACAAGGCACTGCACAAATGCCGGGTATCCTGATGGTCTCTGCCCCTGCAACCTAGTGCAGGACGAGAGAGGGCCACCCAGGTCTATGGCCAGCATCTGATCACGGACGGGGTGGACCAGGGCCGCAGGGAGCGTGGAGGCCCGGGCAGGGCACAGAGGGCAGGCGGTGTGTGGGGCTGGAGGACCAACGTGAGGCAGGGCTAACACAGAGATTTCTGGGGGTGAGGAGAGGCTGGGGGAGATTCCCTGAAGGGAACAGAGGGTAGCTTTGGAAGAGAAGAGGGAGCAGAGGGCTCTTGTTCGTGGGTAGAGGGGCCATCCAGTCAACAGTCCGTCCTCTCTCTGCGTGTCATACCCAAAACACACCCATGGATGTGCTTCCTCCAAGTGACAGGGTAGGTATTTCCTGTTCTTTTTATAGTCTATCCCCCCTAAGATGAATTTTTTTTCTACTTGTTCTTGCTTTTTAGAGGGTTCACGTACACATGAAGCACCTAGGATGGGGTGGAGAGTGAATGAGATGAAGATTACATGGAAAAAGCATTCTGGGCCAAATAATATAGTAAAACTGTAGAAGTGAGGGGGTGAATAAAGCAATCAGGTTGGCCTTTGGCAATCCCATCTAGGAGAGACAGAGCCTGGAGGGTGTTTCAGGGAGGGGCCAGCTAAGGAGACTGGAGGAGTCTCAGAGGACACAGGAATTAGCTAGGCTTCCACTGCTTACAAACAAATCCACTGTTTTTAATCAATGCATCTCAAGTCGTAACAGCTACTCGCACAATACATGTGAAACCCGTCTGCAGTTTCACTACCACCTGTGCAGTCGTCGCTGGGGCGCTGGGAGAAAGACACGTTCACGGCAGGAAAGGCGTGAGAAGAGTAAGCACTTTGCTCAGGACCGGATGGGCAGAGAGTGGCACGGCCCGAACGCAGACCCAGACCCTCCGACTCCAAATGCGATGCTGTTCACACGTCACGCTGTTTTACTTCCGGGTATTAGGCAGGCTTTTGGGGTTTAGGTTCCGGCATTAGAAGCTTTATTTTCATCGTGAGCCACCTCTTCCCTCTGCGCCCGCTGCCCTCAGCTGGTCACCCCTCCCTCAGGGTGTGGGTCCCCACCAAATCCTCCCCAGCCCAACTCCCTAAACCGGCCCCTCCCGCTCCTGCCCACCCTGAAGACAGCGCCCCCAAGATGCCGCTGCCTCTTCTTCCTCTGGGAGGACCATCAGGACTGCCACCGGAATCTGAGTTGGTCCCAAGCCGACTTACGTGTGGTCTCTAAACACAGTGAGAAAAGGAAGAGCACAGACCAAAGGAACTTTTGTGACTGGGGACAGTTTTCTAGGCCAACAGGTTTCTAAATGTGAGTGAAGAGTTCTCCTGGGAAAAGCAGGGGTCCAGGAGCCGACTTTGCACCTGGTCGTGCGACAGCTCTGCTCGGGGTCAGAGGAGCCCAGGGTCACTGAGAGAAGCCATGGGCCTGGGGACCCCACATGGTCTCGGCTGCCAAGCCCCGACACCGCCAACCCCAGAGACCACTCCTGACAGTGACACCTGCCAGCAGGGCCGTTTCTGCTGGGACGGGTTTGTGACTGCAAAGCAGAACCAGCTCCCCTTTCCAGTCTCCTTTTCAGAATAAAGCATTTCACATTTAAGTGACATGCCTCTTAGACTCTCCTTCTGCAAGAACAAGAAACAAGAACAAAAGGTGAAAACGTAAAAGCACGTGTAGGTGACTTTATTTGGCTGACTTTACCGCACCTGATGAGGTACCGGCCACGCGGGGGACACAAGTGAAAGTCGCAGCAGAGACGGGAATCGGGGACGAGGAGGTGAACCTGATTCCAACTGGGGACACTGGGGAGGCCTCAGAGATGACAGCTGAAGCACAGGAAGGATGCCCACTGGGTTGAGAAGACAGGGTGAGTCTGAGTCCGGGGGACGAGGACTGCGGCAGAAGGATGCCCGGAAGGATGCTCAGATGGTGTCATGTCTGCCTCCCTCGCTGAAACCAAAGGCCCCTGAGGACACAGCCTGGGTCTTGTGTGTCCAAAGACACCCCCCACCACCACCTTCCTCAAGTCTGCACCCTCTACAAATGTCACCAGATCTTAGAGGACCCTGTAAACCCAGGGAAGGATTTCGGTGTCCGTCTTGAGGTCATGGGTGGGTCTTTGGATTCTACTGTAAAAGCAGGGGTGTCCCTGCCTGGATCTGAATTTTCACAATACCTGCCAGGCTGCAGGCTAAAGAAGGAATCGGAGTTGGGCAAGAATCTCCGGGAGAGACAGTTCAGACAGCTGCAGTGACCCAGGATCACTGTAATAACTTCCCTGTCTCAGCACCTCCAGAGCTATCCTTCTAAATACAAACTGGACTTGACTCTCTCCACCTCAAAACCCTTCACAGCTTTCCTTTATGGACAGAATAAAGTTGAAGTCCCAGGGACGGCATTCAGGTCCTGCATAATGTGAAACCACTCCACCCGTCCACAGTCCCCAGCACCTCCCTCACGTACTCCAGTCGTAGCAGACGACTGACTGGTCCCCAGGTGCACCACGCGGACGCGCCTTGACCAAGGCCTCCGAGGCCGACGGCGCCTTGCTCGGCCGCGCTGCTCCACCACGGTTAGCCAGCGCTTGGCACCTTACAGGCACTTGGCTAATATTTGTTGAGCAGAATTGAACTGTAAAGGCAGCACTTGTATTCATTTAATATTTCCTGACCACCAGGAACCATAAACAAAAAGACTGATCCATTTACTACATTCAAATGTAAAATACTGCACAGAAGTGGAAAAACAAAGTCAAAAGACAAACTGGGAAAGATATACAGACTACATGTGACAAACAAGTAATTTCCTTCCTATCCCGAGAGTTCCCCGAATCATTCACACCAACAACCTAAAAAAAGGTTGGGCAAGGGAAATACATATACCCAGTCCATTATCCACTCATCAACTGTACAGATCAAAGAGCTTCCAGGTGCCCAGCGGGACTGAGGGTGTGAGGCGCGAGGACGCACTCACGGGCTTTGCTTCTGGGAGCGCACGGGGGCGGGGTCCCCTGGGAGGTGACCGTCGGAATCTACAAAATCCAAACTATTGGAACGTTTAGCCTAGGAACTCCACTCTGAGAACTATACCACAGAGATAAAAACAGAACCAGCAAAGAGCCGCAGCTGAGACCTTGCTTCTCACAGCGAACCCGTCAGCAGGAGACCGGTTCGGTGACGGTCCGTCTGCACGAGGGAAACCCGCAGCCACTGAGGAACCGGGCCGAGTCTGCACCCCTTGTGGGAGAATTATTCCAGACTGTATCCTAAGCGAAAAACGCGAAGTACCTCCACTCATGGCCTATGATGCTCCTTTTGTGCAAAGTGAACAAATAAACATGCAGACGTGCTTGCACAGGCAGGCAAAACCTTGAAAACCCTTGACGTTGGCAGCTTCTGGGCAGATTTATTTACACGGCATATACCCTTTCGCATTGTTTGAACCTGCATTTTCTTCTCTGTGTTCAATTTTAAAAGCCTCCCCTCCCAAACGCATACGCAGCTGCTGATGGTTGATCGAGTACTAAAAGCTCGCCAAGCATCAGGGACACAATCTTGAATGACACTGCTCACATCCTCCGGGAGCTTTCGGACACAGTGATTCTCAAAAGGACTGCCTTTTACCACCACACGAGCGGATTCTGCGCTGAGGCTTCCGACAGTGAGACACATGTGAACACGGGGAAGCCGCCTCCTACACACTTGCTCAGTTGACAGTGGCTTTCAAAGGCTTGCCTGACTCCCAGCTTTCTCAAGGCACATCCTGACACGAGTAGTTCATCAGCTTCTCCTCTCCCGAGGGGGAGTCTTGGGAATATAGCAGCGGCAACTCGAACAGCGGTGACGAGGAAGAACCCCGGGACTCTGCCTCTCCAAGTGGTGCAACAAGGTCTTCAACAACCTGGCAGGAGAAGGGCCTCCTGAGGTCGTCGGGGTGTGTGCAGAGACGCGAGCATGGAACCAGGAAATCAGTGAAGACAAATTTGGAACTGAAGAGCTTAGCCTGCGTAGAGCCACATTATGATTACATGTGTTAAGGGTTTGCTGAACAAAAATGCCCAGTTAGTCTGGCCTCAAAAGGACTTCATAGAAAATACACCTCTAGAAACCAGCTGTCAAAGGGCTATGGCATCACTACAAAACCACGGTAATCAAGGCAGGGCGGTGCTGGTGCAGGGGTGAACATGCAGATCAACGGCCAGGACGAAGGTCCAGAAACAGACCCTCTGTCAAACGCAATCAATTCACGTGCAACTAAAAGGCAGCAAGACAATTCAGCAGAAGTCAGTCTTTCCAACAAATGATGCAAGGACAGCTGGACAGCCACATGGAAGAGAATGAAGCTGGACTCCTACCTCACACCATATACAAAGAAGAACTCTAAATGGATCAAAGACTGAATTTATAAAAGCTAAAACCATAAAACTCTTAGAAGAAACACAGGTGTAAATCTTTGGACCTTTTCTTAGCTATGTCACCAAAACCTATGACAACAACAAAATAAATTGGACTTCATCAAAATGAAAAGCTTTTGTGTTTCAAAGAACACCATGAAGTGAAAATACAACACACACAGAACGGGAGGTAAAATTTACAAATCATCTTATAAGGGACTTGTATCTAGCATATGTAAAGGACCCCAGCAATTCAGTAATAAAGATAAATAAGTAAAGACTCGATTTAAAAATGAGCAAAGGACCTGAATGAACACTTCTCCAAAGAAGATATACAAGTGGTCAACACGCACATGGTAAGATGCTTGACATCATTAGCCATCAGGGGAATGCAGATCGAGACTACACGGAGATACCAACTCACACCCACTAGGATGGCTGTAATCAAAGGCAGGTAGTATTAAAGAGGATGTGGAGAAATTAGAACTCTCATACGTTGTAAAATGGTGCTGCCACTTTGGAAAATAGTTTGTCAGTTCCTCAAAAGGTGGAACACAGTTACCATATGACCCAGCAATTCAACTGCTAAGGTATATATATCCAAGAAGTAATGTCCACACAAAAACGTGTAAACAAAAGTTTAAGAAGCAACATGTCTTGTAACATAGCCAAAAAGTGGAAACGACCCAAGTACCCATCAACTGATGAATGGATAAATAAAAGGTGGTCCACCCACAATGGAAGGTTACTCAGGAATAAGAAGGAATGAAGTACTGGTACATGCAACATGGATGAAACTTGAAAACATTAGGCTAAGTGGAAGAAGCTGGTCACAAAAGACCACATATTGTCTAATTCTGTTTCCAGAAATGTCCAGAACAGGCAATTCTAGAGACAGAAAGTAGATTAGTAGCTGCCGAAGTGCTGGGGAACTGGGGAGGAAGGGGGTGTAGGAAAAACCAAAGAATGTGTGCTGACAGGTACAGGCTTTCTTTCCAGGGTGAAGTCTTATAAAATCAGCTGTGGGGATGGCTGCACAACTCTGTCAGTATAAAAACCACTGCCTTGTACACTTTAGGTAGATGATTTATATGGTACACAAATTGCATCTCAATAAAATTGCTATTAAAAAAAAAGAGCTAGGCCAGGACAAACAGCTATCTGAGGCATGCTGCTGTTGCTCTGCACATTTAGAAAGGTGACATTACAATTCCAGACCCTTAACCAAGCTTTAAAGTGCTGTAATGCTTCTTACACAGTAGGTATTAACCTCTTGTCCGGTCCTATTTTAATCCATCATTTTTGGAGCAATCAATACCAATTAAAAAACTTCTGAAACAATTCACCTTTTATTCAAATAGAGTCACATTTGAAAATCAAGGTCATATAGTTTAAAAGCATCTGACCTGGGTTTTAGATTAGGACCAAGGAGACGGATAGTCTGTTGTCAGCAGAAACTCGCTCCAGCCCAAATGAGAAAAAGGAACACCAACTAATTGTTTTCACCAACTTCCCAGTAAACATCAAATTTTACCAAATAATGTGTTTTGTAAAACGATTCTGCACATGAAACAAACCAGATTTTATTTTAAAAAGTAGTGAGTCTGAGAGCTGCTCCACAATCCAGCCCAGCCACCAGGCGAAATATCCCTGTTTGTGTATCACACAGCGCAGCTCAGCAGCAGCCTCGCCCCTGTGCTGCGGGCGCTGGACGAACCCCGAGTCACTGTGTCCACCTCGCCCTGCAAGTAGAAATATCACTTCTAAGAGAAATCACCTTTTCTTCCCGTCACACCCTGCCTTCAGGGTGTCCAGTGTCCAGTGTCCAGAGACTTTAGTCACGGACTCCTTCCACTAAGTCTTTCCTCAGAGAAAGATGAAGAAAACAGGCTCCTTTGCCGCCACTGAACAGTCCTGCTTCCTGAACCTTATGTAAACCCCAGGGAGGGAGTGAGCCAGGTAGGGGTCCTGGTACCGCCCATCTACCCTGCATGCCCCTCCCAGGGGGCTCCTCCCTGCCTCTCCCCCCACCTCGCCCTCCGGGGGACCATCTCCAGATGACTCTCCAGACGTGCCTCCAGCTTCCCTCGTGGAGTCGCCCACCTCATCCCCCGTCCTGGGAGGCACTGCTTTCCTGTCACCTCCATCCAGTCCTTCCTTGCTTGAGTCTTACTCCTCCTTGCAGACCCAGAGAAGCTCAACTCTCCACGCAGCCCTTCCTGACCTCCCCGACCTTCGAGAAGGCTTGTAAACTCGGCGACCCGGCAGAGCCAGCAGCAGTCCGCTCTCACCACGGCTCGGACAGTGAACACAGAGGACACAGGGCTGCCCCTGCAAGAACTGAAGGTCTTTCCGGGCAAGGCCTAGAAGGTCTTAAAAGATTACAGCCATCACTTATTAAACATATTCATCTGCTTCTAAGTTAAATAAACAATTTTAATGCAAACATTCAATAGGGCATCTTTCCCATCGCTCCCAAGATTTCGGCTCTTTCTGCTGCTGTAGGCATGGGCGGCTTCACCCCACTCTGTCTTCGCTGGAGCATGATAGAATGCTGCGTGTGCACAGAAAAGAGAAGAAACCGCAGTCAGTGACGCACTAAATGCTACCCATCGGCCAGCAACCTGCTGTTGCTTCTTCAAAAACGGAATATAAGAACACCACGTTTAAGAAAAATTAAAAATGAATTCTAGGACTCCAGATAATGTCTTCAGACTATAAACCAATTAAATAGACGTGACTATTCCCGTAGGAAGGACCTGTTAACTGGGATGGGACAAATCGTTTAATTCCGAGAGCAAAGTACAGCACATTGAGAGGAGCTACCACGTAACCGCCAGACGAAACCAGCAGGAAACACCACAGAGGGAGAGGAACAGACATGGCATGCCAGTGTCCCGGAGAAAGGGACCACGGGTGGCAATGGGAGGGGTAGCCTGGGACGTGCTGTACAGGGTAGGGCACCCGTTCTATTCACCTCCAGAAGCCTAAAATCAGAACAAGGGTATCGTTTTAGGGCTGCAGGTACTTGTACACGTCGGAAGACCCACCTCTGTCAGAGCTGCATCCTTACCCGCGGGAGTGGGGCAGGGCGGCTAACAAGCGCTCCCAAGGGTCCTTTAGGGCACACAGAGGTTAAGTCAAAGAGCTCAAGGCTCCTCTGCCATCACTGAGAGAGCAGTGTGGGCACTGACGAGTTGCAGGCTCCAGCTTCGAGCCTCAGAGACGAGCCCTAACATCAGGGCACCCGGGCTGGGCTTACCCAGAACTTGCGGCAGCTTCTGTACTTCAGGAAGTAAGCGGAGCACCTCTCCTTGTCATAGTTATTCTCGTCCATACATCTGGTGGAAGCATCGGACTCCTTAAATATGTAAGACAGGTATCATTTAAGAGGTGGAACGGCATCTTAAAAAAAGGACAGACTTCTGAAGCTGCTTCCCCACCAGAGCAGGTAATTTTAATGAACAGAAATGGAATTATCTTTCCAACTATCCCAGCATTCATTCTGCTTGAAGCAGACATCTTCCTTTTCATAGTCTGGGTCAGTTTTCCGAATATCTGATCACAGGAATTTGAGCTGAAGCACTGACTGGCTCACCTAACCCAGTACCAGTTAACAAAGGCAAGGTGCGCTGAGCTCGACATCACCACCGCGCGGTGAGAGGCAGAACCTGGCCTCCCGACTCGCAGAGCAGCCCTCCGCCTCCGCCTCCTCCAAGTTCCCGCTTGGACTTGAGTGTTTGATGTTAAGCTGGTTTCAAGATCCTAAGTCGCTAATGACTGGTCTACATCAAGGTAACTTAAATTAATGACATTCATCTCACTGTATTTTTGGCTGTCACTCACTCCACTACACAAGTTTATACACTATTATGCAAGCAATTTTAATAGCTATCATTAATATCACTTCAAAACCAGAGTGAGCAACACAGGACTGTGAGTTCCAAGGAGGGCAGCTGCCATTTGCGAGTCACATGTAAGGTCTCTGAGCTGGAAGGAGACTGGATAATTAATTTCAAAGTGAGAGACATGATTCTGGGATGCCATCTACAGGGAAGCCTTAAACAAACGGGTAGATAATTTGCTTCACAGATCTAAGAAACGTGGTCTATCTAAAGAGACTTAATAAAGCTGTTAAAACAGATTTCATATATAGAACGAAACTAATGTTCTATGCCAAATATTTAATGAATGTGTGTCTCGGGAAAATGCACATAGGATCGGGGAATACGCTTTTCACAGACCCTGTCTGATAACTGCATTGTTCAAGGATGACAATGCCACAAGGAAGTACTATGAATAATATCAAATAAATGCCAATAAAAGTGTACTATTACAACCAAATATTTCGTTTATAATTCCTTTCTGAAAACCTTTAGGATTTAAATAGGCTAATTCTGTTATCAGCCCCTTACTCTCCGACAGGTTGCCTCAAGGATGTGATGAAATTATTGCTATCAAAACAGAAATTTCAGTGACAGTTTAAAAATACCTACTTTCCCACTAAAGATTTTCCTCAGTGTTACATACACATGCCTAATGTTACAGTGAAAACTAAACACTTGTATATTACACAAATAAGGGGAACTTAAAAGAGATGCTAGCTAAATCATGAACATTTTAAAACGCTCTAGTGAAATAAGGATACACTGACCAGAAACATTTTTTGTACAGAAATAACTTTATTTAAGAACTGCAGAAAACAGATGCCCATGCAATCAGAAGCCTGTTCCAACTTAACACTCATGACAATTAAGAGCAAACCACCTTACCGACAAGCAAGGGTTTACATCAGGATCTCTCAGCTTCCGTGTGACCATGGGCATCCTGACAGTCTTCTTACTGCAGGCAGATGTTGAGGAAAGAGTTACATGGTGGGGTGACAGAAAATGCATCCGCAAATCTCATTAGCTCCGACAGTACTTGAGCACTTAATTTTGGCATAATGATTATCCAGTGAGGAACTTCACGTACCCTCTGTATTTTCAGAATAAAGACTTTATAAGTTTCTCCTTTGCACTGTCTTGTGTCTCAGCACAAAGGCCATATTTAAATTACTTATGTCCATTTACTGAAATTTGATTACAATGTCCAGAAGAAAGATAGTTCAGCTAAAATTCAGTTTTACTTTATTCCTATTTCTAAAGGTTAAGCAATTAAATGTATTAACAAAACCAAAGAATGTGGCATGCATTCTAACGATGACTTCCTTATTACAAGTGTGGAATAATTTAGTACAACTCACCTTTAGCAAAAACATTTGCTACCTTAAGTACCTGAATGTCTACTCCAAGGCCAGCCCTAGAGTGGCCAATATGCCAGAAAACCAAGTTATTGCTTGGCTGACATTTTGAAAAGTTAAAAAGAGAAATCTGAAACTTAACTTCCAGCGGTATCCGCTATTTAATTGATACTTCCCTGGACTGAAAGAAGTCAGGGATTGCTACTGTGGTTCACTAATCTTCCAACGAAAGCCCTACACAGATGCAGCTTTTATACCAGAAGCTTTTAGACCACGGTTCTCTAAGAGCCAACTGGTGATTCCAAGTCAAGTCCCGTACTCACACAACAGGTATATATATACCCCAGGACAACGCTCTCTACAGCGGAGTTAACTGAAATTGGTAAGATTATTATCTTCAAAGATATGGTATACAGAGAACCTAAAAGAGAAAATTTTAAAAAAAGTCAACTGTTACTATTTTAAAAATAATTTTTGGTTTCAATATGTTAGTATACTCTCAGCGAGCAGCCCACAAATATTTTAAATCCTCTGCACTAAGTGTAAGGTGCTTCCTACCGAACTCTTCCGGCTTAGCTGCCTTTTACCTGAAGATCAAAGGAGAAGCCAGCAAACAACGCAGGATGACCTACCCAGCACCACTGAATAAACAACTGTCCCTGTGACCAGACAGAGGCCAGAGTTTTTGTACGAAATGGTTTCTCCTTCCTTGCTCAAGGTCAGACCATCCCCAAATATCAGTCATGTTAAAAGAAAGAAAGTACATTCAGGAAAAACAATCAAACCCCACAAGCTCCTGAAAAGTGAAGAGATTCTGAGTCAAGAGTCACCTAGTTCAGCTTCTCTATCAAGGGAAAGATGAGGCTCAAGGAGATAACCTTTGCAAACAAAGATGGAAAAGAGTCTAACCATTCTGGGGTCCTTTACTTTTAGTACCACTAAATAACCCTTTGATGAGTTCCCTCGAGCAATACATGAGTACGCCTAGCTAACAAGAAACCTCTTGGCAAAAAGGAAATTCCACATGTTCAACTACATCTGGGAGCTTCCCCCTCTCCTGAATTACAATTCTTTTGCAGACTTGACTTCTTCTTAAGGGAGATGACAACGCTACGTAGTTCACAGCCTTCTTTTTTTACATCTGCCCTACGCTGTGAAAACACAGAATTCTGCTTAGCTACTCATATTCCTTGGATATAATCTCAGCAAGGATCAGATGCAGAGAAAACTCAGGTGGTCTGCCTTACATCAAAGTATTGTACTTTGCATTTTATCATCACCAGTCAGGAATTCTTTAAAAATAACACCTAGGTAACATCACGTATGCCCAATCAGGTTTGCGATTATTCACATTTCATTTCCTTTCCCCTCTGGGTTCTAAACACAAGTCAGAGTAACTTCCGAAGGTCACCCTGCGTGCATCCTCATGCAGTAACTAGAAATGAAGAGGAAAAGCCAAAGCACAGGAGGAGCGGGGCCGGAGGGAAGCCCGAGGGTTCCGCTGGACAGACCTTACCTACCTGCTTTCTAAAGGTACTGAACAAACGTTACCAAGCTCTACTATCAGAGGACAATCAAAAAGAAATCAAAGGTTTGAGGGAGGGGCCGCAAAAGCACAGCACATTGGAGGAACGGCTTGAAAATCTTTCCTAAAAGGCAACCTGCTTAGAAAAGTATTTCTTGGTTCCCCTTTCAGTGGTTCACGTCCCAACTCTCCAGCAGCTCTGCAGGGTAAGGGGGAAGGGAGCGCTGAACATGTCCATGTCCCCGTGCGGGTCTCGGCAGAGACAAGGGGCTGCGGCTCTCCTCAAACCCAGAGGCAACTGTCGGGAAACAGCAACGCGTCCTGCGAGGCCCGAGAGCCTTTAACGCATTGCTGGGTGCAGACAAGCAGGGTCAGGAAGTCGGGGTAGCACTGCTGGGGGGGGGGCGGGTAACGGCGCGGAGGTCGAGCAGAGACCCTGGAGAGACGCGAGCCCCAGGCCTCGCCGCCTTCCGCGGGGCTGCCGGTGCGCCCAACGGTGGACGGCGGGCACAGGTGAGAACACCTTGCTTCGACCTTCGACGGTGCCGTGAAGGGCAGGGAGCTAGGAAGCCGCAGGAAACTCGGGGGCAGGGGTAGCAATTACGCCCCAAAGGTTGAGAAGGAGAGTGAAGGTAAGAACTGAGGGTGCCCGGGTCTCGGGGCACCTTCCTCGCCCCCGGCC